CTCTATGAGTTGGAAATTGACACGGAACGGCATAGTGGTGCAACGAGCACAAGAAGTGATTTGTTTCTACCTCAGCGCATAGCAAGGTTTGCTGAACAATCTGAGAGACAACTCTCATCGCGTGCCACGTGTAGTGGCGTTTCAGCTCATATTGGCTGCGACAGTACATTTGTTCCATTTCAATAGTATTGGCAATATATAAATTAAGCTAATTTAATATTGAAGAAATGGGTAAAAATGCAACAACATGGGGTGCAAGCGATGGCAGACCTGCAACAGCATGGGCAGTCCGTGGTGGGACCACGCATCGGGAGAGGACAGGCAGCAAAGGGATGAGCCTGGACATATCAAGGGCAGTTCAGAGATCAGCAATGAGTCCAAACGCAGGACGACCATTGACATACGTAAACAGCAGAGTGGGCCTAGAGACGACTAGGGGGCAGTAAGAGTGACGTGCTTCATTGTAATTGTGACCATGCAACTTTTTGGAGAGTGAGCGAGCACGGCCTGATGGGATGGCATAGCGACCAAGCAACCCACAGCATTTTTCAAGCAATAAGCTGATCAACAGACTACTTTAAAGTTGTTTGCATAAACATTTAGATATATTAACGTCTAAATAATTTATCTATAAAATCATTTAAAATAATTGCTTGTAAACTTGAGACCCAAAATAGTATATTACTTAATTAAGGAAGTTAGAGTATAGATGCACAAACCTTTGTAGTGATTTCTCTTGAGATTGGACAGCTTTTCTGACAGGTACCGCCGTATCTTCTGGTGCCGGGCTGCCCTTTCAGCCTGGCGGTACCTTTCTCCCTCAGGTGTAGTCAAAAGCAGCCTGGAATAATGAAAATCCAGGGTAGTGTTTTTTGGAGTGCTCAGACTTAAAACAATATAGAACGTCATAAATACAGGCTGAAGGGTCATAGTTTGAGAAGACCAAGGGTAAATTAGTCTCAAATGAAAGCAGTTAAGTGGCAGCTGGCACCTTACAAACCTTCAATGTTTCTTAGTATTTACAGTGTTCAGAGATTACCATAAAAACAAAAGTACCGCAGTATCCTGACTTATGTTCCACTCCCAATAGAGAGCTCACCCTGGCTTCTGTTAGAATCTTTTAAGCACAAAACAGGTAGCCCATGTCTATAAATCTCACTGCTAGGCTAGTGACTTTGTAAGAAATAGGAGCTACAACTCTGGATAAGTAGACAATGAACGTTGGAAACTGCTTATACTTGGTTACCATCCCTGGCAGTGGTAACAGCTTAGACACGCCACAGAATTAAAAAAATAGCATCATGAACACAAGAAAGAACAATGCAGTTCTATATAAAAACAATCTTTCACATTCCTTGAAAGATCATCCATTCATGGCCTGGCTACAATATTTATAACCCTTTTTGGTAGCACCCTACGAGGTAGACTACCTTACATTTTTTACCGAATTTCTCAATTTTAGGTGAGGCTACCTTCAGGATAATATAGAAATGCTCGTTTTATTTAACCTCTTTAAAGTCTCCAAGCCATTATTCCTTTACTTATTGCATAAAGTGATGTTTGCTTCTAGAGCACTCACGACAGTAGTCATAAGTATGCCCATATCCAATCTAACAATCTGAGATCTGCAGAACAAAGTGATCTTTAGGTTGGCACCTGAAGAAAGAAGAGAAATTGATGGTTAAAATGAATTCACAACATTTACCTCCCTAGAGTTGGCATACATTATGAAAGGTGCATTTCAAACCTGCAATACACATGTCAGCAAGCAGATTATGACCATAAGAAAATTAAATGCAAATGCTAAGAGGATTAGTTTATGTTTCCTCTCTTTTTGAAACTAATAGCCAATAGAATCGAATGCCTTTCGTAGCATGGGCTATTAAAAACAATGAAATGTTTGTTCCTGCATTGTTGCCCATTTCTCTTTTACTTCAACATGCTGCTTTGAAGTTTAATCTGATGCATGTGTCTCCCCACTAAGAAAAAATAAGTAGATAAACAAAGCAAAACAAACAAGTTTTTCTAATGCCGAAATTAAATTCCTCTAGGCATTAGTTGGTGCTTTTCGAAGAAGTGTGCCTCCACAAGAATTTACACAAATGCCAGAATGTAGCTTACAGGAGATCTTAAAGGGGTATGAAAACGGAATTCCAGCGCTCATTTGCTAGCTCGCATCTGGGCTATGTTGCAGCATCACCTCAAAAATAACAAACTTCCGTGGAAAGGCACAAGAAAACTAAGTTTAAAGGTAATTAAACAGTCTTTCAATGTGCACCTGGTGGAGGCCTCCGAAGCTTCGTTGGGAGGTAATCTAGCAATGTTGGGGATCTTGAACGAAGACGTGACATGGCAAAAACCGCTATGTAGCTGCACTACACATCGACGCAGCGCCGCTCTTTGGAGGTATACTCAACTGTTGGAGTAATCTCGCCCTGAACGCGATGACCTTGACATTACTTATCTCACACATAGGCGCTTAGACGGCTTAGTCCGCTTTGGTCCACTTAAAGCCCACAAGTGTTTCAAATGGCTAGGCTGTAACACGTCTACACCACCACTATGCACCCGAACGGCACAGCTCGTAGCCACGCCAGCTTTGCCGCATAGCCCACGACGCATCGAGCTCTCCGTTGACTTCTCTTAGAGCACTTGCTCGAGTTTGTTGCTTAGAACGAAAAATAAAATTATATGTTCAAAATACAAATGTGCGATTATTAACGGTTATTATCTGTTATGATTGACTCATTCTTGGCGGGGTACCCCCATCACACGTCCAGGTGTTAGCAAACAACCTTCTACAGTAAAATCTCGGTGATACTAACTGGTACGAATTTTGGAATAAAACAAATTCGCAAATTCCCCAGCCGAAGTGCATTGTATACGACGTGAAAATGTTTGGGTATTCCGAATACCTCTACGCGCTGCGACAGCTGATACGAATGCGTGCTCCACAACTGATAGTGGGAAGGAGGCCACGATCGGCGACTGTATGATTTCAAGGCTCCGGGTGGCTGATTGCCTGCTGCTGCCAGGGATCAGCCGCACTTTACCCAAAAACTGGAGCTCAAAATTACATGCATGTTACAATCGGACCCAAAAACTAAAACTAAACAAAATGCTGAAAAAACTGTGCAAAGTGGCCTGCCCCATCACCATCAACACATGTTTCAAATTCAATCCAATCTGAATCCAAATTCGCTTTTTGTTTTTGCGATCTCGTGGAATGGTGTTTCAGCCTTGGAAAAGTAAAACCGATTTTACTATAAGGTTACCTCTAAAAAACAAAGTAACTGCGTTGGCAAAAACAGAAAACCGAGTGATGTTGGTGGTGTCTTCGGTGTGGTCCACGGTGACCTGCGAGCTTGGTTGGAATGACAAAGGAACCGAATTTGTGCTTGCACGTTTTTGATATAGGGCTTCAACAGCACATAGTATGGGCACTTTCCGAGTATGTGCATTTGATAAAATGTTTTCCACAAAGTGTAGGTTGTTCAGCCGTGATTATTTTATCTGCGCAGTAGAATCGACATTTATCTGCGCAGTAGAATCGACATTAATTCATTTTTTCAACATTCGTGGGTTGATTATAACCGTGTGTTGCTATAGGGGGCGTGTTAGAATCGTTTAAATTGCATGCAAGATATTTTCTGCCTAAATAAATGCACATTCATGCATTCTTTGTGTTTCAAAATATAAATTTTGTGTCGGCTTTGTTGATACAAATTTAGCATGAAATATTTTACACGACTCCGCGAGATTCATATCAAGATTTTAAAAATGTTTGCTTAATGAGAGAGCCTGCACCTTACGCTGAGTGAGTGGGGCAAACGCCTTCTCTTGCCTCGCTGCCTTTGCCTTGTTGGAGAGTGTGCCGGTCACCGACCTCTCCAAAAGCACTTCCACTCGCCCTATGGAAGCAGCAGTGATCTTGCAATACATGGAGTCGCACTCTGCTTTCCGCATGTTGCCCGGATTCCTGGTTGACGTGCACACCTTGCCCGACATGGATCGGTTATAAACAAAAGCGAGAAACAGCTTCACATATACCAGTCGTTGACGCAGAGTGGTACTGTACACTCCAAGATGCATCGAAAATTCAATAAAATAATTACATTAATGAATTTTAGGCCTTTAAATTTAAGACAGCACTACCCACGAATTCCTATCTTCATGGGCGTCTGCGAAGCTGATGGGCCTAGAAAGCTTCATGGCATTTGCATGAAACAGGTTCGTAATCCCTTAGTTCCATCAGGTGAGCATGCCAATAAAATGTTTTCCAGGCCCTGGCTGTAACTACAATTAAGAGACTGGCTACAATAATGTTTTAGTGACTTCTTGTTGCAATCAATTTAATCAACTGTGCTTACACTATCTCAGGAGTGGCCAAACTGAGGCTCGCGTGCCGCACGCGGCTCTTTGCGGGTCCAAGTGCAGCTCGCGGCTCCCTGGAAAACGTGTCCCCATGACGCGTGTCCCCTAGACGAAAAGAGTTCTAGAATTTAGAAAGAGCTCACAGTCTTGGCAGCTTGGCAACACACTACATATATACACCTGGAATGCTTTTTGCCACATAGATGCGTCGAGTGACTCTGTTTCCTTTATTGTTCTAGAAAGACTTTCAACCGTATACGTATACCGGTTGTCAGGGGCAGTGACTGGCTAGTGAATCGGGTATTAATTTTTGCTTAGCAGTGGAAAGGACCTTCTGATGCATAGTGTCATTTGTTGTTATCGCCCATTATACTTGTCCTCTATGGAAATAACTGTTCCCTCCATATTGCTTCTTGTTAAAAGTAGCCCCGCCCCTTTCCTTTTTCCAGCGACTTTAAACTTTCGTAGTTTTGTCTGCGTCTCTAACTCCATGTCACACTGGCGGCCCCAGCACTATCCTAAACTCTTTTAATGTATATCATACACTGAATGAAAGTGAAAAGTTTTTTTTTTTTATTTTACCATTCCATCCTTATTCTGGAGGCTGATGCTAGGATCCACGCCATCATTCTTTGCAAGGATGTCCTCGTCAGCAACTGAAAAAAACAATTTCACAATAAAAAGGTACGGAAACCGAATTCCAGCGCTCATTTTACCGCTTTAATGAGTTGCATGTTACAACATAACCTCAAGAAGACCAGTCCTTCGCTGAAAGGTACAAGCAAACTAATTTTAAAGCTAATCAAGCAATATTTCAATGTGCACCTGGTGGATGCATGTGGAGCCTATTTGGGAGGTAATCTAGCTACGTTGGGGAACTTGCTACGTAGTCATGACATAGGAAGGACATTCCTCGGTCATCCTGCTCAGCAACAGAGCGCAGCCACAACAGTAGAGTAGAGAGCTCTTTGCCATTGATGCCTTCTTTCTCAGCATTATTATTTCCACCCTTTATGACTGAATATCCTTTATGCAAGATATAAGCGATGTGTTGCATATGACATGTTCGGCTCTGTCACCGCACAGCAAACTTCTTTCATATACTGCAGGTTCATTAAAAAGTTACCTTTTCAATGCTAAAGCATAGGTTCTGTTAGTACGGTAAACATACGAGTACCCAGAGGTCAGGCCATAAATGACTTACGTGTTAGGCAGTAGGGCCCTACAGCACCTCCCGCATCAACAGCCGAGCCGCAGGTAGTCCTGCAATTGATAGAGCAGGGTAAGTCAAAGAAAGGTGTTTCTAGCAGCTCTGCCGGTGTGCCCCCTAGCAGAAGTACTCACGCAAATTGGGGTGTAGGCAGAAAGCATGGCATTTCTCATCAACAAATCATGAGAACACACTGTTGCCGGCCTCAAACTGGATCCCTGTGCTATTTTTCTTTTTTTTTGTGATTTAGTTGATTCTTTGCTTTCCTTGTCACTCCCACTTTGTCACTTTGTTAAATAAAGAAGGCTTGGTAAAGTGCAAAGCCTTGACTGAGTGGTCAAACAGAGCAATACCGAGGAAGTATAAATGTTAAGGACTCAACATGACATTACGCAGAGTGTTGGGATTCCCAAGCTGCTTTCCACACCCACATTTTGTGCACGACCAGCTCTCTTTCTGCATCAGTTGGACCGGTCAGTTGTGTGCCCGTTTCGGTCGCTGGTAGCCATATGTGGCTGGCGCTGCTTTTGAGAGCATTGCAACATCGTCACTTTCAGCTTTTGTCCTGACATAAACCGCATCTAAAAATTAAATTAGCGCTAAGATTTAGCTTTTGGACACTCCCAGAAAAATAGGCTGTACCACATTACATAGACAGGTAATGATATTCTAGTGACAGAATTTCCACAAAAACTGCTTTGCGTTAGAAGGCACAAGGGCTGACGTTCCAGGGAGGTGCAGCTTTGTGTGAACTTGCAGATGCTCCAGCTGCCTGTTTGCGCCTGGCCAGTTCAGTTGCCCTTTCCTCTTGGGTTTCTAGTGGGTACAGTCGGAGACAAAAGTCTCCAGGACACGCAAGCTGCGACTGAAACGCACTGCTCTGCCATCTGCCGGCGGGTCGCCTGGTTTCGAGATCACAGAAGGGCGCATGTGCGTCCTATTGTGCCTTCCAACGTGTGCGCTTTGCCGCTCCGCTGCGGCGCGGCGCCTAACTCGGAATCGGGCGCGTGGTACCACTTCGGAGGTAATGCTTACTGACATGGCACCGATAAAGCAAGATGTCACGGCAGCTCAATTAAGCGATAAGCTGAACTGGTTATAAAACAAGGTGCGCTGACACGACGAAATGCGGCGCAATGCCCCAGGCGGTATCTCGAGTTTTGGAATGTATAGCAGACGCTCGTCAGCCGCCAGCGCTATCTCCGAGGCAGTACCATGTGCCCGATTCCTAGTTAGGTGCTGTGCCGCAGAAGAGCAGGAAACGCACATGTTTGCAGGCAGAGTAGGACGCACATGAGCTTTTGTGTGATCTCGAAACCAGGCGACCCGCTGGCAGGTGGCAGAGCAATGGGTTTCAGCCGCAGCTAGCACGTCCTGGGGACTTATGTCCCCGACTGTACATTTGTGATCATGAATAAATAAATTGGTCAGGAAGCAATGCAGCTGATGCAACATCAATGGAAGCCATGTATTGTATGACTCGCATGACTTGACATCGAATCAGCCACGATTGTGCGCCTAAGTTTGTGCTGCGGAGCGCAAGAGTTTGGCGCTCTGTTCATTAAATCGACAGAAGCGCCACCAAAGGACTGACACTCGAGCGTGCTCCTTTTGCACCGAGTATTTTTCGAAGTGCAAGTCATTTCTTCGCGCTGACAGAAACGCCGCCGAGACGAGGGGTGCAGTGGATCGCTGCCTCATTTCAGTTGAAGAATGCTTAACCAGGCGAGTAAAATGATTTGATTTCAAAGCCAGGACAGCAATTAGAATTACGGAAAAAGTTTGTTCCTGAATCTCACCTGAAGACGAAAAAAAAAAGCGCTATGATGGTACAGCCACAGAAAAGTTGTAGGGATGAGAGGACACTCCGATCGCTGCCCTTTGTAGAATGCACAGCCCTGCGAATAAAGATACTTCGATTGGAAAGCAAAAATGTTGTGGAAAAAGTTTGTCCATGCATATCGCCTGAAAACTAATTAATGTGCTATTTATTGAACGGTGGTGTGCCAGTATTGGAGTAGCACATCAACAAGTTCCGTCCCGCGCTGGAAGACGGAAACCCATGATATCTGACAAGTTTGAGAAATTCTTGTTTTGACAAGCGAGTTCAAGAATCTTGTCTTTCAGTTGAATCTAAACAGCATGCATGTTCAATAAATAGATCGGTCAAAGTAACATTCAGCATATCTGGTCGAAGCGAGTCTTCAAACCTTTCACAAATATTAAAACATTCGTGAAAATTTCCTAACGTCGCCGCGCATTTCGTTTCTATTTTTTTGGCTTTTACTTTACCGTTTTACAGAGCCCTTAATTAATTTATCTTCAAAATAATTTTGGAATCCGCGAGATGCTGGGTTCGTCATAAAACTGTGGTCGGAAGTGGCTCATACAGCTCGCCGACAGTTTCGGTGTGTTGCGCTACTGTACGCTATGCTTCGTTTAGTTACTACGCTCGGAGTGTGAAACTCGGAACGGTGAAGTACGAGCAAATTAGGGCGGACCTAAGGCACAGGAGCAACGGCGGCTTGTAGGGTGCCATATGATGTCACGTGCAAGGCAGTTCAGTTCACACGTTCAACTGAAGTATTAGTCAGCCCATGCATTCATCTGCCTAGCTTGGTGCCTCATATAAGCCGTTTACAATATTCACTTTTAATTACAGTCGCAATAAAGGAGAATAGAAAACGGCGATTGTTTGTGGCTACGTCGCAATTTGGGATGGTATAAAATACACACTCACCCGTCAGTTTGAGCATCTCGGCGTCGTAATAGCCTCCTCGAGTGTTCGCGTCACCGTCCCAAGACACCTTGTACGCTGTCCTACGCTCGAAATCGACCACATTCAAAGGATTGCAGTTTTTAAGTAAAGCCCTGTGGCCGTCGCTTATTTCTCCGTTCTCGCAAAACCAAGTGAAACCTACCGAAATATCTAAACCCTCGAAAACACTCCACGAGGAAGGGTGAGGCTGCCGAGGCAACAAAGCGTACGACACAACTGGATTTGGATTTGGATTCGAAGCTTTTGCAGACGCAGTTGCTCGAAGAACGAATATAAGCGGCGAACTTTTTTCAAAATATAAAGTACACATTAAAATTAACAGATCGTCGAGTGCCGAACACTGCGTATGAACTTGAATGAGAACATTTTTGACAGAAATCTGTCAAGTGTCAACACTGCGTGTAAAGAAACTGGCGCCGCATGTAGCCGATGCGTCGGCAGTAGCCGATACATTAAAGCCTAATTCATAATTTACGCGATCCTCTACAGTCCTCCGCCTGTGGCGCAGGCGTAGCGCGTCGGCCTACGGAACGAGAGGTCGCTGGTTCGACGCCCCCCGGGAGGAGGAAAAAGTCTTTTTTTTTCTGTGTGTGTTTTTCTTTTATTTTTGTTATATCTATGATGGTGTTGGTGGTGTTGGAAACTTTAATTCAGTCTAAAACACCTGCGACGCTCCTTCGTTAACGACCGCCCTGGTCCAAAAGGGTTCTGGTGCAGCTGAATACTGAATAATAAGGGTTCTTCTACCTTTCGTGTCGCCGGTTTTAGTACCTTTCGTGACTCGACGTGTTTCCGCTCAAGAACTTTGAAGGTCGTCTGAACGACGAGACATATAAGGCTTTTCCTTAATAAAAAAAAAATCACATCAACCCATTGACCACGCGGCTGAGGCCCGTCATATATCATACGCGAGATCCAACAACAGCTTTTTTTTTATCGCGACATAGCCTCAAATCGCCTATTTTGTAGCGTGCAAAGTTGCGGAGCCTCCTCGACTTTGGGCTGCTCATTCAGCTAAGCGGTGGCGCATTCCCCCGACTATTAAACATTCCAGCAAAGTAAAGCAAAGCAATGGCCGCGCGGTCTGTTTGGAACCTGAACTTAATTGCCGCCGCGACCGTCCGATGCGCACAACGGTTGCGGGGCTCGTGGAGTGTCGTATCTATAAAAATTAATGTGTCGACGAAACGTCTGTCGACCTTCCGTTGGTAATGAAAGGCGTAGATGAAGCATATGCGAAACGATGGACCCTACCGTAAGTACGGGTTTCCACGGTGCGTGATTGCAGGCGAACGCACAGTTGCCGGTGAATCGGGGACTCAGTGAGTAAAGACGAATCGCGTGACATAGTTGTGTCAGCACCTCACGAGCCCGCCACTCATCACATGCTGGCAAATATGTCGCGACCCATATATCAATTGTTATAAACGCCTCGGACGGCGCCGTCAGAATACCCGGGGCAACAATTAATTAAGCACTGTTGATGAACATTGTGCGCTAAGAAAGTCCCGACGGCCGGGAAATAAGGCGCTTTTGATGGAACCGAAGTGAAACATAAAACTTTTGACGGCCATTAGACCATCTCTGACGGCCCATCAAGAGTGTCCAACAGACCATTAGGCGCCGTCAGGAACTTCTGATGGACCATCTGAACGCACCTGATGGTCCATAAGGACAGTCGAATGGTGCGTCAAGAATGAGCTGATGGTCCATCAGACTTTCCTGATGGTCCATCAGGAAGCCTGATGGGCCATCAAAGAAGTCAAACGGTCCATCAGGAAAGTCAGATGGTCCGTCAGGAATGGGCTGATGGTCCTTTAGGAGTGGGCTGATGGTCCATCAGACTTCTTTGATGGTCCATCAGGAAACCTGACGGACCGTCAGAAAAGTCTGATGGACCATCAAGAAACTCTGATGGTCCATCAGGAAAACCTGATGGTCTTTTCGATCGGGATAGTTTCTTAAAATGTTAATTTGTGAAAATCCATGGTTTCAATTAGAAACTTGCTAAGTATCATCAAAACACACAAAATCCACTTTCTTTGTGAAGATATCAGACAAGAGCAGCATTTTAAGGCGTTTTTTTTTAGAAATAGTCAATTTGGACGCGTTTCCAGACTTCGGTTTCTTACCAGAGCGCATCTTTGCGCTTGCGATCCTGCTGCCCGGAGGCCGCAGCGCAAAGCCACCCCGTCGCCTTCCTCGTAGGATAGAGGGAAGCAAGGCGCACGTATGTTGCGCGTCTAAGCCCCTGGGGAACAGGACCGTGGAGGCAGAGATGCGCTCCGATAAGAAACTGAAACCTAGAAACTTATCCAAGTCAAGCGTTTTTACAGAACGGGTAAAATGCCACCGCTGCATTATACCCTTCTAAAAATAGTTCATTTTCTGGTTTCCAATGACTCAGCAAGTTGCTAATTGAAACCATATGTTCATATTCACTAATAAAAAGGTTGATTAACAAATTGTATTTAATTATCCGACTCACCGTTGCGATTAGGTCCCTATACTACGTACGCCTGGCCGTACAACTCGCCTGTACAAACCGCATTAATTTAGCTTTCACAACCTTTCTAAACATGTATGTAAAGCTTAAAACGAAATCGCCCTGTACAACAGTGAAAAGGCGATACCAGCATGTTGGAGCCATATGGCTCCACCATTCTCGTATCGCCTTTTCGCTGGTATAGGATGTCCCATATTACGCTATGCATGTATGGTTCCGCCTGCCTATATGGTTCCGCCAAATCCACTACGCTGATATAGGATGTCCCATAATACGACACGCTTGTATGGTTCTGACCACCTGTGTCTTTCCGCCTTTATCCACTATACTCGAGCCGCGTTTTCGCTTGTATAGGATGTCCTATATTACGGTTACACTTGGATGAGCCTTTTCCATCATCTTTACAACATGGAAATTTTCCAACAGGAAAGTGTGAAGTGGCAGCAGCCAATCAGGAACGCAATATTTTCGCGTGCCATCCCTGTCGTGTTGATGATGACAGGTAAAGACTTGGCTCTAGTTTGAAACGAATTGTTTTTGAAAATAAACTGTTTCAAAAAGATGACTTAGTATTCTCAGCACAATTTAAAGTTATAAAAATATGTTTTTTTTATAAAAATGTGGATCTAAATAGTGCAAGAAAAATAAAATTTCATGACGATGATGGCAAGTCGTAGCAACTCGGTTGCTGCGTGCGAACGCGGGCGGCCCGAGATCGGCCCGTCTGAAGCGGGCCTTGTTGGCCCGCTTAAGACGAGGCGATTTCACCCAGGCACTTGACGTCGCAACGCCAGCAACGCGGGCCGCCCGCATTCACACGCAGAAACCGAATACCTACGACTTGCCATCATCATCATGAAATTTTATTTTTCTTGCACTCTTTAGATGCACAGTTATAACAAAAAAAATGCTTTTGTATTTTTAAATTCTACTGAGAGTACAAACTCCTCTTTTTGACAAAGTATATTTCCAAGAACGATCCATTTCAAACGAGAACTAGGTTTTTAGTTGTCATCATCGCCACCACAGGGATGCCGTGTGTATATATCACATCCCTGATTGGCTACTGCCGCTTCAAACGACTAGTTGTTCGAGTTGCTCGTCCGCTTCGAGCCGGACCCGATCTCAGCAATTTGAGTCGATCTAGGGAAAGCTAGGGAACAACCAGCCGACAACTTTGAAATTACTGGAAAAGTTGCCCCGTCTGAAGCGGGCCTAAGACAGTGAAGTTTGGTGACAAGACTCGGGACTCGAGCAGGAAAGCAGTTATCCTTGGTGTGTCCCCATGAGACTGTCTTGCTGCCTTTGCTGGGATTTATCTAACTGAAGTACCTGTACGAAAAGTAAAAGAAACATGTGCATAACACTCATTATTCGCAAGAAAATTTGTCAACATCCAAAACCAACCATGGAGAAATTTATGCGAGGAATTTTTCGGCCACGTTGGCCGAGTCACCTCTCGTGCCCAATGTTTCATTGCAACTGTAGATGTAGTGAAGAGTTATAGGGCATATTACAAACATAGTGCAATTTGGTTTTGTACGAAACTACAACATACAAAACAGCGCTCTAATACAGTATGTTGAGATACCTCTGAAACAATTCCAGGGTTTCATGGTGCCTCCTTCAGAAACCTGATGTTCAACATGAAATATGTGCACCAAGGAGTGAGCAAACAGTTACTTCTAATCAGTCTCAAGCAGCAGCGACATGTCGACAAGGAGTGACGTGTGTGGATGGTGGTCGAGAAGTGTGCAGCCAAGAAGAAAATCCAAGATATAACAATATCAGAATAAGATCACACCAAAAAGACTCCGTTGTAGAGAGACAATATACAATCTGGGCACAGTAATGAGTCGACCGAAGTTCAGTCGCGATTCACTTTGTGCTTATTGAGGTGAAACATGGCCAACAAAAAATGACTACAGTGACGGGGCACTTCACTTTAGAAACTGCGCTACGGTGACGAGGCAACATCAACCGATACAGATGTCCAAGGGATACCCCATTCCGGAAGGCTTCATGAGCTGGGGGTCTACGGTTCAAATCGCGTTCTGGACGATACCTTTTTTTTAAAGTTTTTTTTTTTTATTTAGGTCACAGACGCCAGATTTTCCTGTAGGGGCAGGGACAGGGACAGGAACGGAACGGGATCGGGATCGGGATCTTAATCGGAATCGGGAACAGGACCGCGTAGCGTGTGTTAATGTGCTTGTAAATTACAAGTTATTAATTCTCAGTGTTTCCACCACATACAACACAGGACGGGCCCCCTCACTTTTGCCGGCTGCACTAGTGAGGGGCCCCCTCACCATAGTACATGACAAAATAAAAAGCGCGTTTTCTTACACCATTTGTTTTGCGCAGTTGATATCCGAGCAGTTGGGCGGCGTCACAAAAATCTGACTCACTCGCTAGCGTTTCTCAAATTCGTTCGCCGCCAGTCGGCACCAGAGATCAGTGGTCGGCACTCATGGTGTACCTGGGAGGAAAAAGTACGAGCTCAGAGCCGAGGGCCGATCGCAACTTTTCTAAAGAG